AAAGCATTTTAGCGGTACTGACTTGCCAGCTCTCCATCTTTGACAATGTAATTCTGGGCAGGGAATTCTTCACCCTTAAAGTACCTCTCCAGCATGTCCTTAGTTCCAGCAGCATACCTCAGCTATAACAGCAGTTCAAGTGAACAGTTTCAAATACCATACTCATCATGTACTTAGACAACATGTCAAAAAGGATTCATACCTGTGCATCAATGGTCGTCCCGGAAATATGAGGTGTCATGGCTTGGTTTGGCATGTATCGCCATGGGTGGTCCTTGGGAGCTGGTTGCGGGTACCAAACATCCCCACTGTAGCCTAAATGTTGAAAAGGAAAGCCGTTCATTCATAGGGAGTATTATATCTTGCAAAGGTACATAGGTAAAGGGTATATATTTGTGCCTTATCCAAACATGCATATAATATTCCATATCATATCAGAATAGGTAGGTTTGTCTGTCCTGTAAACTTAATGGTACAGATAAGGGTTTAAAATGTTGAATCGATTGTAATACCTGCAATGTGTCCAGTGGAACAAGCATCAGCAACTGCTTGAGTGTCCATGATTGCGCCCCGGGCATTGTTCACCACCAATACTCCCTTCTTCATCTTCCCAATCCTCTTCTTGTCAAACATCCCCCTACATCACCATAAGAAGTAAAACAAAAGGGCTTGGTAAACATTACATGCATATAAACATATGTAATGAGATGAAATAGGGACAGAAAGGGCATTTATCAATTTTTTACTTGGTTTTATCAGTTAGAGGGGTGTTTATGACAACAATGTCACATTTGGAGAGCATCTCATCAAGGTCTTCCTCAAAACTCGCACCAATCTCTTTCTCCAGTTCAGGATCCATCTTGAGACGATCATGATAGAGAAGATTACAGTTGAAAGGTTTCAACCTTTGGAGCAAAAGCCGTCCAATACGACCTGCACCGACGGTTCCAACCGTTTTCCCTTCCAAATCATAAGCTCTGTAAGCAATTTTGGCGACATCCCATTCTCCATTGATGACCTGATGGTGTCCGGGCAAGAAATTTCTAACGAGAATCAGGATACGCATCAGTTCATCCTCGGCGACGGAGACGACGTTGCTTCCGGTAACTTCCGCCACCGTCAGTCCAGCAGCCGCCGCAGCGTTGAGATCTATGTGGTCCGAGCCAATACCAGCCGTGAGCAACAGCTGCAGATTCTTCGCCTTTTTAATCCTCTCAGCAGTGACGTAGGCGGGATGGAAGGGAGTGGTGATCAGCACGTGTAAATCGGGAATATGCTTTTCCAGCTCTGTCAATCGGGTCAAAAAAGGATCCGATTACGAATTTTCCACCGCATGATGAATTTTTGCAGAAAATGCAGTAAGAATCGCGACTATACCATATACTCTTACCGGAATCGGGTCCCTCTTTGTCATGAGTGACGACGTAGTGGTGGCCTTGGGATTCCAACCAATGGCGGATTCCCAATGCATTTTCAACGCAACCGACGAAATTGGGATTCAGTGAAGCATACTCATTTGCTTTGTAGAAAACTCCGACGATTTTTTTGCTCCCCGGAGAAGCCTGCTTGTTTTCCGGCAACAAAATCAATGTCGGAAAACATATCTATTTTTCTCTTAAGAAGAAGATAGAGTGACTTACATGAAGCTGCCTGGTTGGAAGAGAGGAGTTGCCGGGAAAGGCAAATGCCTGAAGCCCGTATGCTGCGACGCGCCTTACCGCCGCCATGTCTTTCTCCGTCTGGATCAGAACACAAAAGTGATACACCTAACTACCTAAGATAAGGCCACCACGTAAGATATCAACATTGCTTTTTCTACGATAGGAAGCGTATGTGGTACCACCGGTTGTACGGTGCTCGCCGTACAGCCGGTGGCATTTTTGTAATTTATTTGAAATTTGCGTCTCGTATTAAATGAGTATTAAACCACACATAGTGAGCAAGTGACATATTTTGTTGAGCATTAGAAGCATAACATTGAGCATCATGATCTGTGCTTCATCTCTTCGAATTTACTTTCTTTTCCTTATTTTTTTCTTTATAAAAACTTATTAAATTATATCTATAATCAACTCTTATGAACTCCAGTATGTGAATTTAATGCAATATGATACTTTGGAAATATACATTGGTATGTCATATTACCAATGAGCATAACATGAATACCCGTTGAGCATACATAACTTATAAAATGAGAATTGATATGAAAATCATAAGTACTTTTAATTGAACATCAAGACATTTTTATTGAGCATCAACTTGAAAAGTATGACCAATGATTTTCATTATGCGATTGTGATGAGCATCGAGTCTGTTCTTTTTAAATGAGCATAAAATAACACCAAATGAGCATATGTAACTTACAAGATGAGTATCAAAAAATTAAAAAGTCCATTTGTGTATGCTCATTCATTTTGGCCTTATACGCATTTGAGTTTAACATTAGTATGGTACGTTTGAAATGAGTATAAAGAGGTACCAAATGAGCATACATAATTCACAAAATGAGTATAAAAAATTCAAAAGATCATTTGTGTATGTTCATTCATTTTCGGTTGTATACTCATTTGAGTTTTACATGAAACTCATTTTTAATATGCTCGATATTCATTTGTGTATGTTCATTCTTTTTAAGCTTATACTCATTTGTGTTTAATATAAACTCATTTCAGATTCGTCAACAAGAAATATGAACTCAGTAGGCCTTCATCGGATGTCGAAACAAACACTGGCCTGGAGCTTGTCATTTATCGTACTTAAACAAAGTAAACCATGACTAACAATCGTCCTAGCAATTTCTTCATCTGATGTCTATCTGCAATTTCTATTGCAAAGGAGGCAACTAAATTAGGAACCCCAAATCCCTATCTCCTTATCTGTTTCAACCCCAAAGCCATAGTCATCGATCGACTCAATCCCAAAACTCCGAAGGTCTAGCAGGGAGAGGTGGCCGCCGGGGATCTAGCAGGTAGCAGCGATGGCCGGCGAAGCCTGGGACGAGCGACACGAGGACTCAAGCCTGCGTACAGAGGATACGAAGGTCTTCGATCTTAACCCTGCAAGTTGAATTTAATTTCAAAAACACCCGGCTGTACGGTGCTCACCGTACAGCCGGTTGTACGGTGTAATTTACGTCTACGATATAGAGTGGCACAAAAACACAAGAAAACTAGAAAAGCCGAACCAAACATTTGAAAAATAGAAATTACTTCAAATAGGACTAAAACTATGGTAAAAACTCAAAATAGGACTTGCTATGTTTTTTATTCCAAAATAGGACCATAGTGGTCCTATTGGAAACATACTCATTTCTTCCTTCCATTCTTACCCCTCCTTTATTTAGTAAAAGATAGCTAAAAGTCATAATTAAATGTTTAATTCATAATAAATTCGAAAAAAATTCAATAATTCGTAGATTAATAAAAAAAAAATTAATAAAATTTTTATAAAATAAAAAATATGAATTTTTTTTTAATGCTTTTTTTGAAAATTAATAAAAAATAGTAAAACTCCATAAAAAAGGTTAAAAAAATATGGATACCTTTCCCACCGCATGTACTACCTCCCTGAACCACCACCTCCGATCGGTGTAAAAAATGCCACTTTTTTTTAAATTCCACAAAAATGGCATATTTCTCTATGAGAATGCCAACATTTTCATTCTGCCAACTTGAATCCTTTTGACTTTTGCCAAAAATATGGCATTCATAATTTTTTTGGCATTTTTTTACCTCGGTGACAGGGGGTGGTGGTACCGCCTCCCTGCACCACCACCTCCGACCGTTAAAAAAATGCCATATTTCCTACAAACTTCCATTTTTTTTCGGAAAATGCCAAAAATATGGCATATTTCTCTTTGAGAATGCCAACATTTTTTTCTTCCATCTTAAATCATTCTGAATTATGCCAAAAATATGGAATTCATAATAAATTTGGCATTTTTTCCCCAAATGACTAGAGGTGGTGGTGCTGGGGCGGCAGAGGCGGCGGTGACAAAAAAAATTAATTTTTTTTTGTTTTTTTTAATTTTTTTAATTTTTTTTTTAATTTTTTTTAATTTATTATTATTCAAAATATTTTTATTAATTTTTTGGTATATTTTACGAATTTTTATTATTTATTATTATTTTATTATGAATTAAAACATTCCAATAGGTATAAGGGTATATTTGTCCAAGACACACATAATTAGTCCTACGGAAACATAGTTTATTTTTTGATCCTATTTGTGCAAAGTGAATGACTTTTAGTCCTATTTTGATAATTAACTCTTTGAAAAATTGTGCTTTATATCTAGAAAAAATCTATTTCTACGTATAATATGTACACACTTTCCTATACATACAAAGATTTCATTTAGAAAAAAACAATCACTTTTATATATGTATATAAAATGTATACACCCTCTAGCCACTTTTGTAGGTAGACAACTTGTTTTATAACATCAATTGTTCATGTAATCATGTAGATACAAGATTATACGAGTTTATACAAATTATGTGTACACCAAGAATGATTGATTATAATTGTAAAATGATTAGCTTATTAATTATAAATAGTAAATAATCACTTTGACCTTTATTATTTTTTCAAATAATATTAGCCGATTAATTATAAATTAATTGATTAAAAAGAGGAATAGTAATTTTTTTAAACAATTAAAAATGGTAAAAATTTATGAAAAGGAAGGAATAATGTTTTGACAAAACAATAAAATAGGTATTATTGTTACGTCAAAAAAGCTTCAATTAGGTTTTTGTTATTTAAAATCAATCAATTTAACTTCTAAACTCATAAAAACGCTCAATTGAGCTGTTTAACGAGTAAAGCACATCTCTTTAATCAATTAGGTTTTAGATCACCAATGGTACTTTAATTTTTTTTAATTCCTTTTTCCTATTGGCTAAGGCAATCAAGCTCTTAGGGGTAGGGTACATGTTTAATAAAAAGTGTATAAACACATCTTACTTCTTTTTCTTCTACACCTAAAAAATCTTCAATTTTCTTATATTCAGTATACTCTTTTTATTATACTCTTTTTATTTATATCACATACATTGATCTTATGCATATATATATATATATATATACTAGCGGCGACCCGCGCGTTGCGCGGTTGTCATGCCCAATGGGAGGTACAAAATTTGGGAACGAAAGGAATGCAAAATTAATATGCGAAAGGGACAACTGAAGTAAGTAAGAAACATAAAAGCAAGCATTGTTCCAACACTGTTACATCGTAAAAGCAAGCATTTGTTCCATCAGTGCAAGACTGAACTCAATTTAAGCGAGCAGGCCCGAAGTTATTTCAGGTGAGTTCACTGGAAATATTTTGGACAAAAGATCACGCGTGGGTCAGGCCCAATGCGGGGGAGAAAACTGGAAGCGAAAGTAATGCCCAATCAATTAGGATAGTGATGTTAATAATAATAACTATACTCCTTAATAATTGATGAATCAATAAAAGATAAGGAATGCCTGTTGCACTACCTCGAAGGCCGAGCACCATCTCCTCCAACTCTTCTCAATTCTTCCCTCAGGAGAGTAGAAACGTCAACTGCTGCTCCCAAAGCTATTCTTCCTGGATCAAGAAGAATCAGCAACTTCGGTAACCTTTAAAGACCCCAGCTTTTGGTCAATCTCCTTCCAGCCCTACCCCTTATCCTTTAACACCTCTTCCCTGGGCCTAGTTTCCCCGAAAAGATTAGACCCGCCCTTGGGTTTTGTTGAAGTAGCATTCCCATTCCCGCCTCTACTTTCTTTCCCCAATGATCTGAATCGTTATCATTAGCACCACCGACTTCTATCTCTTAAACTATCAAATGCAAAAAATATCCATAATCAATTCACATGTATCCATAGCAAAAAATATACAAAATTCCAAACCTGATTCTTATTCTCATCATTTTTGAATGCCAGTGTCATCAAGACGCCTGCAACTGCTCTTTGCACAGCTGGATAAAAAAAAAACTCAAGCAATTCAACAAGAGGTGGGTTGTCGCCTTCTACCCTGAATATAGAAGGTCTCATAAAGATTACTGGCAAGAATAATAAGGTGTTTAAAAAAGCTTTTTGAAAATGATTTTAAGGCTGCGTAAAAACACACAATGTTGGAAAAAACCCTCAATTAAGGCAATAAAGATAAATACCCGCTTAATTAAAAGGACGTAAAAGCTCAAGAAAAAGTTGAACACATAGATGAACACGTAAAGGCGCACATCATTACATATTGGGAAACAATAATTGATAAAAATGAAAAAAACTTACTAATAATCAACAATACAAGGAAGGTACACAATAAACACTAAGATACAATTTTGTATTGCACTAAAACCATATAATTGAAGTTAGAAGACATAAAACCTGACAAACCTACCAAAATATAGGCAAAGGGAATCAAAAGAAACAATGAGTAAAAATGTTATTCTTAAGGAAAACTGTAATGTCAAATTAGATGATCATTAACTTGCAACAGGAATAAACTTGCAACAAGAATACTCCCAGATAATGCATTTGCAAAGGCATTCACTTAGGCTTCATCATAGGTTACAATTGCATTATTTTTCAAGGTATCAACTTCGGCGGAAACACAATCAATAAGTCCATTTCTATCAGTTTTATCATAAACACAATCTGCAGGCACTGTTTCTACAGAAACATAATCAGTTGGAACATTAAGAATGGGGCTTTCAAAGTCAAAAGAGGTGATGATTTCTGCTCCAGGGGCAGTGCAAACATTTCTGGCATTGCTACCAGAAGTACACTCTACCTCAGCAGGAACAGAAATAAACAGGGCACCAATAGCAGACATATTAACAATCTGGGCAGAGAAATCAGAACTGGAAGGGCCAGGTTCATCCTTTTTAAAAGGATCAGTTGGGGCATAAGTATCAGAAGTATCGATCAGCGCAGGGGATAAGCACTGGTTCATCAACAAAATGCAAGAAGCTAAAATCAGGAGATTAAAACAAAATGCGGAATCAATGTTCATCAACAGACTTGCTTGAACAAAAAATAAGTGAAAGTTATGAGAAAGCATATCCTAAAATAAAAAATGCAGTATAAAAAATGCAGTGGTCTACAAACTAACTAAAAAGTGTTAAACAAATGATCATTCTAGAATTGGAATACAAGCCTTGGAGATAAATCACAAGTCTAGAACAAAAAAATGCATAACCTATTAGAAAAAAGGTTTGAAAGGAAAAACTTAACTTTAAGAAGTGAGTGAGGTTTTAATTCAGCAGTAGTACACTATTACAAAACATTGAACCTCAACAATTAAAAGAGAAATAAGATAAAGAAATTGAATAGATGAAAGAATAGGAAGAAGTGAAGCTTAAAAGCTTATAATAAGCAAACCTTTGAGCTTAAACAAGACAATGTGAAGCTTTAAAGAAGACCTTTTTCCTAAGAAACTATTTTCATTTGTAGAATATAAAGAAAACTTCTGAACACTATACCAATTCAGTCTTCTATTTTGAAGAACAATAAATAATATTGAACAAGGTATGCTAAAAGTTTACAAAAGGGACGGTAAATGAAGTGTGTTTAGCAAAAGACAAACCATCTTCCCTATCAAAGTGTTTCAGTCCATGAAGTGTGATAAGGATCCATTCCTGGAGCCTTGGCACATATCCTTTGAGGGCTGTAGCAGATGAGAAAACACACAATTAGTAAATCTATTTTAAAAAATAAATAACAGAAGGATAAAGTAAAGAAGTTCAAATTTACGTTGGGTATTCTAAACTTCATTTGTGAACAAAATTCCTTTCGGCCAGAATGCAATTAATCTCAGAATGCCAAAAAAACTGAAACAAACTAACATTGAAACTCAGATAGCTAAAGTAGCAGTAAAAAGAAACATAGTAGCAGATTAATCGGATAATCCGGTGAAAAACAACAATAGGAAATTGGTTCTTAGTGATAACCGAGGGGTCCTCTGACTGAGTATCATCATAGTAGCATCATAGGACAGGGGATGATCAAGTGTAGTATAAGCCGTGTCAGTTTCAATAGACGGATCAGAACGAGGTTCTTCATTTCCAATTATTGACTCAATTGTATCAACTTTAGGACCAGGACCTGCAGATAATGCATTTGCAAAGGCATTCACTAAGGCTTCATCATAGGCTTCAACTTCGGCGGAACCACAATCAATAAGGCCATTTCTATCAGCTTTATCAGAAACACAATCTGTAGGCACTGTTTCTATAGAAACATAATCAGTTGGACCATTAAGAATGGGGCTTTCAAAGTCAAAAGAGGTGATGATTTCTGCTCCAGGGGCAGTGCAAACATTTCTGGTATTGCTACCAGAAGTACACTCTACCTCAGCAGGAACAGAAGTAAACGGGGCAACAATAGCAGGCATATTAACAAGCTCGGCAGAGAAATCAGAACTCGAAGGGACAGTTCCATCTTTTTTAATAGAATCAGTCGGGGCCAAAGTATCAGAAGTATCAGGGCAGAGGATAAGCACTGGTTCATCAATGGCTAAAACAACATTAGGATTCAGATTGTTATCATCAGAATTGGGGGTAACCTCATCAAGAAGAGAAATAGTTGGGGCAAAATTATTAGGCATATTAACGAGCATATAAGTGGAGGAGTAAACCTGGATATCATCGTCGGAGAAAAAGACAGCTGAATCTCCATTGAAGGTGTAGGATATGACCGGGAACCCCACAGAGTCAAAATCGAAGAAAGAGCACTTTTGGGAGTGCAATCGATGGCCATGGTAGGAGTTCCTTAACGCCTCTGCAAACGAGAGCCTCGCTGGGGCGGCCAGAGGCCCAAGCTCCTCCGCTGGCGGCATAGATCTGTCGCACAGGTGCAGCGGAAGAAAGGGGAAAAAACAATGGCCGAGAGAGTTAAATGAGCGGATGGATGGAAAAGCAAGAACATCGAGATTGTAGGAGATCAGCGGTAAAGGTAAAGGCAGATGCGTGCAGAAAGGCAGCTGCGTGCGGCGCAGAGAGCAACTATGTCAGCGGGATTTCCACCGCAGGTAATTAAACGGGCAATATTTTTATCTAGTTGACATCCAACTTGCGAAATAAACAGCCCCATTCTGTTAGGCAGCGGGCAGTTAACAGGAAGAAGACGTGAGGGCTGTTATCACGGAATAGGACGAAGACAACTCCCTTGCACGATTTATATATTAGGGATATATATATATATATATAGAGTCCTGATCCTGTCCAGACGTCCGGACAGGAACCGCCGTCCGGCCGGCGGCGTTTGGCCGCCTTCCCGGTGGAATTTTTTGATGAAATTTTTATGGCATGTTCTCCATCAAGTCTAGTTTATCCACAAAAAAATTCAGTCAAAAACTCAATCGGGAAGGTCGTCAAATGATTTTTGCAAGTTAACTGGTCCGGAAAATACATATTCCGGACCAGTTAACTTGCAAAAATCATTTGATGACCTTCCCGATTGAGTTTTTGGCTGAATTTTTTTGTGGATAAACTAGACTTGATGGAGAACATGCCATAAAAATTTCATCAAAAAATTCCACCGGGAAGGCGGCCAAACGCCGCCGGCCGGACGGCGGTTCCTGTCCGGACGTCCGGACAGGATCATTTGTGTATATATATATATATATATATATATATATATATAGAGAGAGAGAGAGAGAGAGAGAGAGAGCTCTTCTCATCAGGCCGGCCTGACGGGCTGCCCCGTCCGGCCGAGCCCGTTTGGGCACCTTCCCGGTGGAACTTTTTGATGAAATTTTTTGAGCATGTTCCTCATCAAGTCTAGTTTGTCCATACCAAATTTCATCTCAAAATTCGATCGGGAAGGTCGTCAAATGATTTTTGCAAACTAACTGGTCCGGAATACGTATTTTCCGGACCAGTTAACTTGCAAAAATCATTTGACGACCTTCCCGATCGAATTGTGAGCTGAAATTTGGTATGGACAAACTAGACTTGATGAGAAACATGCTCAAAAAATTTCATCAAAAAATTCCACCGGGAAGGTGCCCAAACGGGCTCGGCCGGACAGGGCAGCCCGTCAGGCCGGCCTGATGAGAAGAGCTCTCTATATATATATATACATACATACATACATACATATACATAACAGAGAGCTGTTTGAGTCAGACGGCCTGACCGGACAGCCCCGTGCGGCCTTCCCCGTTTGGGGGCCTTTTCGGTGGATATTTTTGACGAAAATTTTTGAGCATGTTCCTCATTAAGTCTAGTTTATCCATACCAAATTTCAGCTCAAAATTCGATCGGGAAGACAGTCAAATAAATTCTTGAAACATACCGGGCATTCTGCGCATATATAAAGTGCAATATGTTTCAACAATTTATTTGACTGCCTTCCCGGTCGAATTTTGAGCTGAAATTTGGTATGGATAAACTAGACTTGATGAGGAACATGCTCAAAAAAATTCGTCAAAAAATTCCACCGGGAAAGCACCCAAAAGGGAAAGATCGAACGGGCCTTCCGGTCAGGCCGGCCTGACTCGAATGGGACTCATACATAACATATAATATTGTGCAACGTTATTATTTGTACTAATAAGTCTCATATTAGTTTATTAGTTGTATTCTTATTGTTTAGCATACACTTATTATCATTAGAATGTCAATTTCAATAAAGTTAATTGATATACGTAGTCTTTCATGTACCTGTTAGAAGAAGTTTTTAAATTCTCGTCCATCTAAGAGTTGTCGAAAATGTTTTGTTGGGTCAACAGAAATGGATCTTGGGGATTTAATCCTCATGATGCAATGACTGACGAAGATATATTATTCAAGCAACACTACGATGGTTTTCGATCTATCGCAAGCTAGCATTCCACATTTAATTCAAATAATATGATTCACTAGTTGGGAAAAGACTTTTCGCATCGATAAAAATAGGTTTTTAACATTGGTTGTACAATCGATGCAAAACTAGGCGATGTGAGAAGTACAAATTATCACATCTTTTCTATAATCGATGTAAAACGTTTTCACATCGGTTGTTATATAACTGATGTAGAAAAACCACTTCGCATCATATACTACATCGGTTTTGACCATGAGACGTGAAGCATTTTGTTGTTTTCAAATTTTTTAAAAATAAAAATACAAACCGGGATTTGTCACCGGAATAACCGGTGCCGGTCTTGGTTCAACTTACCCCACCCTCAGGATATACTCCGTATATCGACTTAAATGTCTAGGAGGGGGCCTGCACTTGATACTTATAGAAACACAAGATAACCTATTTAATTTGCAAGGAATTGAACCTAAAACTATCTTATCAACGAGTGAGACACCTACCAATTAAATTGTCTCTATTTATTTATAGATATCGAAGATCAGAGGCGGCTTGCTTCTTTCTTACCTAATCAGGAAATACGTACTCCCTCTGTCCCTGTTTTTTCTCCTCTTTTGATCTGGCACGGAGATTAAGATAGTGAGTTTTGTGTAGTGAAGAGTTGTGCATAAGAGAGAAAAACATGTAAGAATTGTTATGAACTACAAATTCTTTGTCAAAAAGTGAAAGGGGAGATAATTTCGGGACGGACAAAAAAATAAAGTTTGAAAATAATTCATAAACGGAAGGAGGTACTTCCTCGGCCTCGACCTTACTTCCTCGGACCTCGTAAAGATCGTTGACTGCCGCCCGCGGTTCCTGAACTATAGGATTGACCGGTTCCTCGATGAACGTCTCCAATACAACAACTACTCCCTCCGTCCCAGAATTAACTTCGGTTTTGACTGGGCACGGAGATTAAGAAAGTGGGAAATGTGTGGTGGAGAGTTGTGCAGAGGAGAGAGAAATGTGTAAGAATAGTTGTGAACCACAAATCCTTTGCTAAAAAAGGAAAGAGGAGATGAATTTGGGACGGACCAAAAAGGAAAGAATGAAGATAATTATGGGACGGAGGGAGTACTATTTTAGTAGTTGTTGTACATGAACTTGTTGCCCACCTACCGTAATACTATTGCGAAGAGCAACTTGATAAATCTTGCTTCCATTATTGCAAAGGACAAACTACATCATTGGGTTACATTAAACTGGTTACATTCACATGCATAATGCATTTGGAAAATATATATATATAGTATAAGGAGTTTCAACAAGTTGGTCATCTTTGTGTAATGGAGATGACTGTAGTCTTAATAAATAAAAAATAATCATACATGTATAGTCAATTAACTTGGTTTAACCTAGTCAGAACATATAAAGTATGTGGTTTATTATCCCTTCTTTAGAATGATGCATGAAATTTTTGGCTATTACTCCCCGCTATTTTGTTTTGTTTTGACAAAATCATTAATAAAATGATTGGAAAAGTAAAAATTATGGTTGAAATTTTAGTATAATAAAGTAATTGTTTTGGACTACATGTTTCTTTCGGAAAAAGAAAATATAATATTAATTCCCACTCACTTAATTTTGTCAAGTTGATGTTGGGTCTGAAATCAAAATAGTAAAAAATGTAAATTTGAGGTTTGTACAGAGGAGATAGAAATGAACACAACCACACATTATATTCATTGCTTCCAAAGAAAAGCGGTAAAAACTTTGAGACAAGCCATAAAGAAGAGTTGGCAAAGTTCATTGGGACGTATACCTATTTTGGGATAACACAAAATTAAAAGAAAAGTGAGCCAAGTAAATAAGACAAGGGTGTACTACTTTGTGATATTCACTAATTTTGACCAATTAATATGATACATTCAGCAACTAATTTTGACTAATTTTATACATACAAATTTGAAGGCACACCTAATGTAAACAACTAAAATTGTGCTCACGTAACTCACATAGTCCCAATGTATGGGATAAAACTTCACATATTACAAATGAAATGATACGATTCGTCGGTTCATGTTGAATTTGGAAAAACATACCAGTAAACAGGTCCAATTTCAAAGACGTACATATGTGATAATATTAGGGTTGTATACGAACCGAATCGAGGCGAATAACAGGATTTTGTACTTATATTTGATTAATTTTTTCGAATACGAATTCGAATTCAAATATGAAACGAATATTAATTTCGATTTGTATTTGTATTTGTTTAACAATACGAATAGTTAACGAATCTTATACGAATATCGAATAGATTTGAGCATAGGCTAAATATTAGTCAAATATCACTTTAAAATAAATTTTCTTATATTTGTTTATGTTGTAAATGTACGCTATGTCTTATTATGTGTTTTTAGAATTTAAATTGTGCATGATATACTAAAGTGAATCAATTTTATGATTAACAAATATAAATATATTTCAAACTTTTAGAAATAAACACAACACACATATTAGAAATTATACTTACAATGTGTGAAATAAGTTGATAATTGTATATATCAAAGTCAGACGTCTCTAATTTTATTCTTCAAATCGAATACATAATTATTTGTATTATATTTGAAAGACATTTGAACAAAAAAACTGATTTGTATTTGTATTTATACTTTGATTTATTAAAAATGGACTTAGGATTTGTATGAATAAATGTATATATGAACTACACTTTAGGGTATTGCTATCTTTTAAAAGTTATTATAGTGTTATTACTATTATTATTAATATTAATATTAATATTATCACTATTATTAATCAAATATATTTGATTAATATTCGAATCGAATACACTGATATTTTTATTTGTATTTGATAACAACTCGAATCAAATTTAATATTCATATTTGTATTTGTATTTGAATTTTCCGAATTCGAATCATCTTATACGAATTCGAATCGCGAATCGAACACAAATTATTTGATTCGTTTACAACTCTATGTGATATGGAGCTTTTGGAACGCGTACAAGTTGATTAATGACATGATATATATAAGTGTAAGGTGTTAGAGACTGTATAATCAAGCCCTATCCGTCGATCCAACTCGACGAGGGGTAGCTCCCGGCCGAAATTTTTGATCCATTTCTGAAGAGCCGCGATTTTCCGTACAGTTTCCGTACAGTTTGAGCTGTACAGCTGAAATTTAGGGGTTAAATTTCACTCTCTATAAATACAAGCTCTCTCCATTGTAATCTCTTGATCCGAAATATTAATAACATTCATGTCTTGATAGCGCCCCAGACGTAGTCCTTTGTGGCGAACTGGGTTACCAAATTTCGTGTGTGTTTTCTTATTGCTCTTTGTGTTGCGTGGGTTAAATCCTAAGAGCATCCGCATTGATGATCTTCAACTTTATGGTTTTTCATGACTTATTATTGTCATGTCACCTCCATATGAGATAATGTCAAATAATCTCCAAACCAATAAATTTCTCCTCATTAATGATCTTAATTTACCTTGGATAGGAGCATGAGCACGAACTACAAAGCTAGTCATCACCATAATTATGAATATATGCCTAGAAGCTGGAAATAATCTCAAAATAATCCAGCTTCTATACGCTTTATTATTGTATCAGTCAGGCATCAGCGGTCCGCTTCAATACTGCACAGTACCAAGTCGGGCCCGGGCTAGTCCAACCCCTCCCAGTCCATCCTTTTAGACCATTTGTAGTGGTCAAGAGTCCAAATAGTTAAATTTGGACTCCGTCCATTTGAAAACAGTGTTTAGACTCCGTCAATACTGTTTTTCCCTGCATCCGTGCACCGTCAATAAAATACACTCTGCATATTTTTTACATATCAATTTAGTAAAATATTAATTAAATTATTATAAGTAATGTTTTACTTTTAATTTTTTTCCCTGAATAATTATGAAATAAAAAATACACATTTTGATGTAAAAATAAATAATTTTCATAATTGTTTTTTAACTTTTTTCTGTTAAAAAAATGAATTTGTTTAAGTGAAGATTGATTATAGAATATTCAATTATTTGTGAAGGTTTCATGAATTAAGAATTCCTGTTTCATTTTTTTAGCTCAATAAACTGTAACAGTTAAAATTTCAAAATAAAATCATTTTATATATCACATATGGATGTCATATGAAAGATCATAAAAATTTATGAATTTTGACATATTTTTTGAAAAAATTAAGTAACAAATAAAAAAGTTATACTACCCCCGTCCCTTCAAACTTTGCCAAGTTTGATCGGCACGAGGATTAATAAAGTAAAAAATGTGTGGTTGAGATTTGTGCAGAGGAGAGAGAAATAACAGAAACCACAAATTCTTTACTTAAAAAGGAAAGTGGCAAAGTTAGTGGGACATCCAAAAAAAGAAAGTTGGCAAAGTTTTAAGAGACGGAGGGAGTATATGTTTAAAAAAATTTGGGATATAATGATGCAAGGGTGACGCCAACATGACATCATCCTCACCAAAAGAAAACATGTGGCGGTGCCTTACTTTTCCTTTTTTCTTTATTTTTTCTTTTTCCACTCCTCTAAACTCAACTTCTATATTTAACACCCTCCATCCCCTTTACCACTTTTAGGGAGTGTTTGCAACTGCTTCTGCTTAAAAAAAGCACTTTTGGAGAAGTAAGGAAAAAATGATTGGTAGTAAAAGTTGATAGTGTTTGAGAAAAAAGTGATTTTGAAAAGTAAAAGTTGGTAGTGTTTGGTAAAATAAGTGTTTTTTGTGTAATAGAAAAGGGAAAAACACTTTTCACACGCAAGCCGAGAAAAAGTAAAAATTGATAGTGTTTGGTAAATATGTGCTTTTTAAAGCCAAAAGCTGAAAAGTGCTTTTTTTAAGCAGTTGCAAACACTCTCTTAATACCCCATATAAACCACCACTACATACAATTAGGAGTCCAAAAGTTCCACATTTAACATTTTGGACTCCTAATACCTCACCACTACAAATGGTCTTACTTAACTTCAAAGAATAAATACAAATTATCTTAAGTTCTTAACTAAATGAATTACTATTTACAACTGATAAAATTTAGACAGGAGTAAAAAATATACTACGTATTAATATGATCATTACATTGCAAGTATAAATGTTTTTCCAAGTACGTTACAGAATTCTTAATCAAAATATTAACGATAAAATTTAAATAAAAAAAAAGAATCTTATACTACGTACTACTCTTGTGTTAAGGAATTACATTTTTATTCAGATGACCTCTATGGCTCCATTTCTTGTAATAATCTTAACATTTCAAAATCATTTCTCTCTGTTATTTCCCAAAATCAAATTCTTTAATGGTTCTTCCGCAAAATCACGACAATTGCAAACACTGGAACAAGCTACAAGCTAAACAGCGTCCCATTTGAATATCATCATTCAATATATGCTTCGACAGTATCTGCGGGAGAGAGCTGTTTCATAAAGCATAACATGGTATACAATGGTAGATAGCCAGATTATCACAATTGTTAACAGATCAAACACCAGATTACAGGTCTGCCCTTGCAAGCAGGTTGATTTAGATTAGCCAGGCCCAACTTTGGGAATATCATAATGCTCACTCATATTAGCCAAATACTGGTTAAAATCTTCAATTCGGTCTCGGTGTGATTTGTTGGCGGTCTTCGCCATCTTTTTCTTATCAATTCTCTCTCTTTGTTCCATGTAGCGTCTCTCTGCTGGGGTGAGATAGTCTCGAGCAGCATCTCCTTCCCCGTTGGTTTTGTTGGCCTCTTTATTCATCTCTTCCTGGTTTTGGTCAACAACTATTAATTCGTCACTTTCACCTACAAAATTAAAATTAGCTACTCTGAGACTGAATCTTCATAGACACATATTTTTGCACTAATCCCTATCATTGACATACTAGATTTCTATATGAACTAAAAGATGTTTTTATCAGTTCTCATCTCAAATATGGCAAAGCCAGAAACGTTTAAACCAGACCATAATTATTCATATGAGACCGAAAACAGTCTTTTAAATAAGATATTTGGACAAGAACATTCACACTCAATCAATCCAGACCACAAATATTCAGACCAGACTAGAAATATTCAAACCAGACCCAAGAACCATGGAAACCTACACAGCTAACGTTTTGCCATTTCAGAAACTTGGAAATGTATGAGAAACCTGAAAACTTCATGTTCCTATGTTTTTACATTTATGTGTTTCCCAATTACATTTTGCGTTCCTGAGAGCTACAGAGGACAACAGCAAACAAGAAAGATTTGGACCACGCTAGATCTGAAATAAAATCTGATCAGATATCATTTTCTTAAGTGAACAACACAAGTCTGAACCTAAGTAATTAAATCGCTACTCGTTTGCAACTCTGTCGAGGGCAGAGTAACGATTAGAACCAACTACTAAGGATTACTTGGTGATTACTCGGCCCTATATTAATTAAACTTAAAACATAAACGACCCAAAATTCTAGTAATAATGTAATATGTTGGTCTTAAAATTCTTAAATGTGAATAAAATAATGGTGACAACTCCGGTACCTTTTTAAAAAACGGGGTACCGTACCTACCATTCATTTGATTGGATCACATCATTTTATCATTTTTAATTTAGATTTAAATAATTCAACTGCTACATTCTCATTGGTCCATGTGGACAAAGGTATGGTACCTTATGGGTACCATAGAATCTACCTAAAATAATAATAATCCTAATAATGAAGTAGTAACAAATCCCTATTCCCTACAATCATAGACATTCTAAATTTCACGAAAATCAAACACCAAATAATACTTAATTCTGAAAATTCGTCCTAAAGAGGTAAACTAATCTTCATTGGGTTTGAGATCGTCATTTTCTTCTTCATCCACCATGTCCCCAAACTTAAACTGTCTTTGTAATCTTATTTTTCCAATTCTTAAAATACCTACTAATAATTCGTAAGTTCTATAAAACCCCATTTAGTTTAAACTTTTCAGATTTAACCCTAAAAAATCAAATTTATTGGTTGCCGAGTAACTCGGCAAGTCAACCTTGTCACCGGGTAATGACAATTGCCGAGTACTTGTGAGTTACACGAAAAATGGAGCAGTGTGACTCTGAGTACTAATCAGGAAGTCCCTACTCCGAGTAGCGAGAACTCGTCTAGTATTCGGGGAGTGCTCGGCGATTAGATAACAAATGTCTGAACTGAAGAAGCATCAAATGTTTTTAAGTAAAAAGCCAACAGTTGAAAGCAAATTTGTTACATTAAGAGATGCCTATAGATAAGTAGTCCATACACTTAACAATCCAATAAGAAGGCAAGATTTTATAAAGAACATATACCAAACTCAAATTTCTTGGAAAGGTAATCGAACCTGCAGAGAGTTTAGTTTCCATGACTTGAGAAATCTGATCAGAGCTCTTCTTATGCTTCTTCTTTTTCATTGAACCAGTCTTAACATCCAAGGCCTTACCCTTAAGTTTCAGCTTGCCAACAACAGCATTGTCATATGCAGACATTTCTGTGAAAGTTCAAACACCTTAGATCATGCAGTTTCCCCAAATCTGTAGGATATCACTATCACTACCACTATACATATAAAAGCTGGACCGCCTGGATAACTGATCCTGCCTGACAATGATGACGTCACTATGACATCATCACGGTGTCATCACGGGATGCTGTGACACGTGATCACAGTGAATCTGCATAATTTTGGCTCTCCTCCATACTAAGGCAACATTTTGGTTGGCCATTAAATTACAGCTTATTAAAACTCCTTAATTTCGAAAATTGGTCATCGTTTAACTGAAATAACAGACAAAGAACGAAACTCAATAACAGCCACTAAGCTTTGATCTATTCACTGCTGATATGGTATAAAAAGATATGTACGAACAAACAAAACAAGATGCAATAAAATAAGAAGACAGTCAGTGATAATCGACTAACCTCGGGATATTGGACGATCGGCGTGGTTTAGGATGCGCCCGACCTGAGGGGAAGAGGAGCGGAGAGAGCGTACGACCTTCTGGCTGAGAGTTGAGACGTACAGAGAGATGTAGATCCGATGAATTGGTACACTAGAGAAGATCGGATCTTGGGAATGTGATTACTTTTCATTGGACAGGGTCGAGCAGATGGGCCAATAACTTTAACAAATAATTACATACGAGTACTTTATAATTTTATATGACTAAAATAATTATAAAAAAAAAGTGATTAGTAAAATACGTAGTAGAATCATAGTGAGCAGATTTTAAACAACCATTCTGGATATAAAAAAAATTAGATGAGAACTCGGATACCCATTAAAAAAATGAGGTATTGTACCTACCATTTACTTGATTGGTCCAAATAGGTATATCATTTTTAATTTAGACTTAAGTAATTCAACTGCAACATTTTGATTGGTTCATGTGGTCAAAGGTATGGTACCTTATGGGTACCATAGAATCTACCAAAAAATTATACACATTTGGCACAATTTCTGGTATACATGGATAACTATTGCCTTTTTCTAAACAAACTGCTTGTATACAAACAATTAGGGTGTGCACATTTTATGTACATTTTACACTAAACTTGTGGGCAAAGGCATTGATATTTTTTTAAAATGAGATGTCTGTGTACATAAGAGAGTGCGCCAAGTGTGTACAATTGTTGTGTTCAAGTGAATATTTTCGATTTTAAATTGTACTCCCTCCCTTTGGGCTCTTAAAAACTTGTCAACTTTCTTTTTTAGAAATAACAACAGCAATAAAATTTACTTGAGAAGACTGTCAAATACGTTGTCGTACTATTGTGAATAAGTGAGTTGGTTCCTTTTAGTATTCTTCGAATCAATCAAGTCCACTTATTTTTACATGTATTAAGTATTTGCAAGCAAAACTACCCACACGAGCCTTTACTTTATTTCGTTTGAAATAAAAACTTTTTCGTCGTTCTCAACAAACCCTCTTGCCAACGGTTACTGAAATCAACCCAACCTCTGTCACAAATGCGCTTAAATAAGTGATTGAGTTGTTCGTAAATCGGACGTTTACGTCAATCGTAAGATTGTCCCTGTTCAACGATCCACGTAAGTCTTCATTATACAAGGTTAGAGTTTAGTAATTTTAAAATTTTGGGGTCTTTTATATTTTACCACCGCTTAATATTTTCTTTACATGAACATATGGAGGCTATTTAGGGTTATTATGAGTTGTATTAATTTTCTACAGAACAATTTAGCTTATATGTGTATGTATTAGTTGTGATGAATTTGTGATTTATTGGGGCCTCCGAACTGAACATGGTGTTGTGATTTAGCTCATAATACATCATGGAGGAAACTTTGTCAGCGTTCCTGAAACTAAGTACATAGATGGTGAAGTGGAATGCATTCGAGTTGATCTTGACTTGATATCCTTCCCTCATTTAATGAAGGCTTTAAAAACTATAAGCTATGGTAATATTAGGGGGATGTATTTTAAAAGACCAAGTGAACTTATGGAGTTGCTTCACCACATGTTCAATGATAAATCCATACTTCATTTGATAGATATGGCTTCAAGTTGTGGAAAATGTGACATTTTATGCTGATTATGGTTTGGATGAGGTTGAACTAGTTGAACTAGTCCTCCCTTAACCGGCCCCAACTGAAGTGGTTGAGGAAACTGTGGTCAATACAAAAACACAGGGTGATGCAACTTGTCAAACTGAATCATAAACTGAAGTGGTTTAACAAATTGAGGTGAATACAAAGGAATTATTGGGTTATGCAAATGGTGAGACTGATCCTCCAGGTGAAATGGTTGAAGAAATTGAGGTGAATACATTTGATGAAGCACAGGGTGATGCAGGTTGTGAGACTGAACCACAGACAGGAGGAAGCAGCTTCTGAAACTGAAACACAATGTGATGAGACTGAACCACAGGAGGAAGTGGCTTCTGAAACTGAAGCACATGGTGATAAGATTGAACCACAGAAGGAAACAACTTTTGAAACTGAAGCACAGGGTGAAGAGGATGTTAGAACCACAACTGGGGAAGGAATGGATATGCACGGTAAGGAAAATAGTGGTGTGGTGGCTGACAGTGTAGAGTATAATTCATCCAATCCTCCAACCTATGTTGGCGATGAAGAATCATATGATGGTAACTCTACACGTGCAAAAATGAAGCATATTTCCTATAATCCCGACTCTTATCCTACTCATATTTGTTTTAGTATACTCTTAGAGGATTCTAGACAATTCAAGAATGTTATTATATATCAAATATGTGGTGGTTAACGACAAGGATATATGTTGGGTAAAAAATGAGCCAATAAGAGTTTGGGTTGAATGTGCTTTAACATGCCCTTATAGTTATGCTAGTTGGGAAGACAGTCTTAAGGGTTTCCAAGTGAAAGACCTAATTTATAAACTCTTAACATAGTTGCAATTCCAAGTTTAAGGAGTAAGTAAAAAAGATTGTTGAGACATTTGAGTAGGTAGCACAAAATCCTACCGTGGGTGAAGTAGACTTAAAGAAACTTGTTAAATCTAAAATGAAAATACATGTGTCTACTAGTATATGGCCACAAGAACTTTGAGGGATACACACAAGAAAACCAAGACATGATTTAAAGACCAGTTCAAGAAATTGAGAAATTATGTCGAGGAGAACTTGAGGTCTATTCCAGATTCCAATGTGGACATTCACATTGTCAGAGTTGTCCCAGAAGCTCCTGCAGTTTTTCAAATAACCTATGTGTTTTGGTCCAGTAAAACATGGGTTTCTGAAGGGTGTAGGACGGTAATAGGATTATATAGGTCTTTTTAAAAAGGACATTTGAAGGGTGAGATTCTAACAACGGTTGATAGGGATGGGAATAATCAAATGTACTCAATCGCTTGGTTGTTGTTTAGATAGAGAACAACTCATCAAGGTCATGGATTTTAAGTCTTTTGAAGGAAGATTTGCACATTACTAGTCCACAAATGTGGACTATAATCACTGATCAGTAGAAGGTATGTAAATGTAATTTTCACTTTCTTATATGAACATTATACATTATTAAATGATTTCATATTTAACATGGTCTTTCATTTATGAATTGTTCACAGGGTCTATCAAATGTAATTGCTAATATCCTCCAAGATGTTGAGCACAGAAATGTGCTAGAAACATACACGCCAACTGGAGTAAATCACACAGAGAAATGGTGTTCAGGAACCTATTTTGGAAGTGTGATAAGTCAACGTGTGAACCACAACTGGAGGCTACATTAGGTGAAATAGACAAGCTAAACACTGAGGTTGGAAGGGACTTGAGAAAATACCCTTTCAAGTTTTGGTGCAAAGCATATTTTAGAAGTGATGACAGGTGTGACCCCGTGGAGAACTATTTGAGGCCTTCAATAGCACCCTACTCCAAGCAAGGCACTAATTCCTATGCTTGAGGATATCAGGGTGGCTATCATGAAAAGAATTGCGAAGACGAAAAGATAGTATGATGAATGATGGCTAAGCTAGGTATATCCTTTATATTTATTCATATGTTAGTAGTTTTTGAAGTACATATAATGTTATATAGATTGGGTTCATCTGTGGATGTTAAGGAAGAAGAAAAGGCTAACTTCTTTGGCAGTTCACATGCTTACCGCCCTTAGCTTTAATCTAGAGTCATATGTGTCTTGAGTGACCATTTTTTATCAAGTACATGTTTTCTAGCAGAAAAACTACTCTTATAATGTGTATCACACAAATTTAGATTCAACTTCAATGTAACAAATCATGATAAATATACCATAATACAATTAGGACATGAAATCCACGTGTTTGTATACTGATTTATGGAGCAATCTGTTTCAGGAAATTTTGGCCATATCACTATGCAAAAGCCAAATAGGAAAATTTTAGCCAACCAGGGGTGGAAAGTTGACTTCAATGGAGATGATGGTTACAAAATAAAAAGGGGGAGGCAACAATTTAAAGTGACTCTTAATTTAAGAACATGTTCCTGCAGATATTGGGATCTCTTTGGAAACCCTTGTGCGCATGTTATATGTACCATCTTTGATAAAGGAGATGATCCACAATATGTGCATACTTGTTTGTTACTCCAAAGAGCTATATCAATGGACTTATTCCTATACCCTCCAACATATTAATGGGGAGTTGTATGGCCTACCACAGAGTATGAAGAGATAATGTCTCCTTTACCGAAGAAGATGACTTGTAGGCCAAAGAAGAAGAGGGCACAAGAAGAAAGTGAACAACCACGAAGTAGTACACATTTAAGCTGAAAAGGTAGAATAATGAAGTGCTCCATTTGTAAAGGAAGGACACAACAACTATCTACTAAAAAAATTATTACTTTATTGAGGCAAAAGGACAAGATATTCTATATACAACTCAATACTATTCTTCTTATAAGGAGTAGACAAGGCTTCAGGACCAGATATTGGCGAGCATTGAAACCGACAAGGAACCAGAAATGTGCCCGGATTCCAAATATTTTCTCCGAATACAAGCCAATCCGGGGCGAGACAGTGACCATCCCTATTTCCACTATTTGTATTACTTTATAAGGTTTTAGCAAGACCACAAGAAGATCATTTCATCTCATACTCAAATTTGTATTGCTTTATAAGGTCTTAAGGAGACAACATAACATGCACTGTTTCATTTGCTACTCAACAAAACGGTGATTGTCTGAAGAAATTTTATGTGATGTTATTTAGGAATTGTGATCTTTCTATGGAAAACTCTAATCCTCCATATTTAAAGATTGTTAGGCGGATATTTATGGGCCTTATTATGTTGTTATATGGTTTATACCTTTTCTATTTAATCTGTAATTAACATAGTATGGGCTGAGGGCTTTGTAGTTATACATACCTCTTGTATTTAAACACTTGTGCATAGAATGAAAACCTATGGGGAAAGTTTATCCCTATCGCAAATCTAACATGGTATCAGAGCCAGGTCCGGTTTTGGTTTGACTGCTTGTTTATCACCCATGATTAAGGGTCTATTTGGCCAATTTATACACCTCAATATTGTCCAGCCCGGTTCGGGTTGATGGTTTGTGTTAAGGTATTTGTCCCACACCAGAAAACTATAAAACAATAAAACACTATTTAAGACTTTGGACTACTTCTCCTATCAGGTTGATTTTTTAAGATGG